TATTTATACTATATACTTTATATTTATTTTAAATATACTTGTTATACTTCTAAAAAATGGAATCTGTAACTGGCAGTCTAATTGGACATAGAAAAGTTATTTGATATTGTGCAGTGGAAATTTTTGCAGCTAATGTTGGCCCAATATGGATTTATTCATAAACTTTACCAATTAAAAAGGGTATCAGTTATTAAAATAGCAAACCAATGAAAACTTTTCTTCCTTCATAAAACAGGAGGTTCAAGAAAGAATGAGAGGTAACCACCAAGCATTTTGTGCTCTGAAAATTGCTTTTTATTGGTCTCTCATTTGAAAGTAGAGTACTTGTGTTGGAACTTTAACATTCCTTCTAATAAACATGTATTTCAGCTTCTACTTTGTCAAAGCAGTCAGCTTCCAGCTCCCTTGGCCTTTCCTTCCATTGTAAAATATATGTGAGAATCATAAAAAGATTTTACCACCAACTTGGAGAAATCTCATTTGCAAGTAAAGCTAACGCTCTCATAGGAATTCATATGTTGCAAACTCAACTAATAAATATTAATAACCAAAGGGTCGGAGAGATCCTCTTTGGGGCAACTGGTTCTTGTCCAGACTCCAGGCAATAATATTAATCTTAGATTTGTTTACTGTTATGTCTATTTCAGACTGCAATGAAGAAGTGCTTTTAAAAACAAAATGTGTTATTCCAATCCTTCATCCAGGATTATCACAAATAGAATTTCCCTCATCTTTTTATGTTTTGTTCTAATTTCATCAAGGATCAGAGGCATCCATGAAGTGAGAAAAAATGATGGAATGACCATTGTGCTATTGTGATTCAAGCATTGGTCCTTTTGTAAATACATAGTGACATCATACACACATAATATGAGCAGATATTGGATTATGATGGTGCAATACTGCTTTCATTATTTTGATAAAAGGATTAGAACCTGCAATAAAGGATATACTTTTGAGGATGTGCCTTTTCTCTATCCTCTTATATTTAATTTGATATTGGGACTATTGTTCAGGCCATAGAAAGAAAGTCCTGGCATAAAACCAGCTGGAATTGAACACCAATTATTACTCCATGCTGATATCTTATTATTATGAAAGTTGTGTACTAGAATTCATTAATGCAGTAAAAAAGTTTGGAAAATTAAGTTACTCATTTAGCTAAATTAAGTATCATACACTTCTTATAAACTCTAAGATATTTATGGAATTTTTACTTGATTTTTGAACATGCTTAAATATTTCAACACAGTAATATTGATTTAGAAATTTGATTTAAAAAAACACACCACCCTCAGTGAGTTTACCAGATGCTAAAATTGGGCAGCTGATGGATTCATTTGTCCAGTAGTAGGTGGGATACTTATGCACAAACACATACGTATCTCATTGGCTCTTAATGAATGCTGGATATTACTCAAGGTTGACTCAGCCTTCCATCCTTCTGAGATCAGTAAAATGAGGAGCCAGATTGTTAGGGGCAATATGCTGACTCTGAAAACATCTTAAAGGGGGCTGTAAACCACTAGGAAGTAGCATATCAGTCTAAGTGTTATTGCTATTACTGCCTGTCACTTTTAGACACGGGCTCCTAAGAAAGACTTGTGCTGACTGCAAAGGACTTCTCGTTGCAAGGTCTTGGGTTCCAATCCCAATTCTATATCTTTATGGGTGCCCTCCAGGGTTTTGAGAGGAATTATTTGCACACCTATCGGGATATATATTTGAATATATCTTTGAAATAGTCTTTGGCAATGAGTCAGGCTATTGAGTATGGTTTTGCTTACAGTGACTAGTAGCAGCTCCTCAATTTCAGATCAGGGTTTTTTTCCCCAGCTCTTTTTCCACCAATTGGTATTGAACCTTGGACTTTTCCATGCAAAGCATGGTTTCTGCCACTGACTTATGGCTTTTTGTTGACATTGTCCCCAAGCAAGGACTCTATTTCATGATGGAGATAACATTACAATATAGATATTGTACATTTTATTATAATTGAATCAGTTCATTGAATCTACAGCTTAACTCACGATCTAGAAAGAGAGAGAGAGAAAGGAAGAGAGAGATTTTCTACAACATATTTTGTTCCTGTTTGCTATCTCTTGCAGAGACCGCCAATGAATGCTAGGAAGACTGAACATTTTCCCTGATAAACCATCTTTTTCTGTTCATTACTGCTGGCTGGGTTTTGCTGTTTTAGAAACTAGAAAGCCAGAGAGAATGCACTAATAGGGAGGAGCACTGTGGTTGCAGTCCTTCTTAACTTTGTTTGGAAACTGCTGATCATTAATCAATGTTTAATATTGTCAAATTGGCCATAGAGTGCCAACCCACACAAAGGCTGTGTGTGATTTAATGGGACAAGTTTTGACCAAACTCATTGCCTGCCTACCTTCCCAAGCACTTATAAAAACATTAAGAATATAAATTGTTGAAGGCTAGACAGGGAATTGTTCTGCAAACAGAAAAGCCTCAAGCCATATTTCTTTAAAAAATGGAGCCTGTTATTCCTTTCATCTTGTCAACCAAACCAGACTTTCTTTTAGCTTATAATTGTGCCTGGCAGTGCTTGATCTCCACAATCCCAGAGATACTTGGTGTGCCATTTAAAAACAGAGATAAACAGAAGTCATTTTCCTTCAAAACATTTTCAAACTCAGACTGACTAAACAGGTTCAAAATGATAAAGGCTTCAGTACCACAGGAAGAATTATTTGGCCAAAATATATTGTCCATTGTCAATCCATCAACTATACCCCATCCCCAACATTTCTACACTGAATTTGAAAATACTACTGTATTTTGGAGTCTAAAATTTGGCTATTAAAAGTCGAGGGCACAGATTTGGTAGCTCTGAGCCTAAAAAACTGGATGATGATAACAGCCTATAAATTTGTATGACAAAAATTATTTCAAAATTTCTACCTTATTTTGGCTTTGGAATGGCTATAAGCCAGGATTAATTGTTCCAGTTTCTAAAGGAAGAACCTCTGGAGAGAAACCTTAAAACCAAATGGGATGATTTGCAAATATATCAATGGAACAGAGAAAACCTAACCAATAGAGCACTATTTCTCAATTTCAACAGCTTTGAGCTTCAACAACTTTAAAATGTGTGGGCTTCAACTCCCTGAATTTCCAACAGGCTGTCTGGGGAATTCTGGGAGACAAAGTTTACACACTTTAAAGTTTCTGAGATTGAGAAGTGCTGCAATAAATGCTTCCACAGATGTCATAGACCCATCATTTTATTTTTATTATGCTAACAAAGGTTCTACCAATATTTCTGTTCCTCTATCCTACATGTCTTCAGCTATTTTAATATTCAATGTCGGATTACTAGTCTTCATTATGTTTTTTTTTAAAAAGAAATATCATTTGACTTGATTGAAAAGGTTCTTAAATAGATTTCAGTGGCTTGTCAATGAAATCCTATAGATGCATGTATAAAATGTATAGGAAATCATATGGATGCATGTTTCTTCCCTGCCCTGATGGTAACTAATGTCCTACAGCAGGAATCCCTAACCTTTGGGCCACATCCACTATTGGGCTGTGATGTGTTTGCAACCGGGCTGTCGAAACAATGGGTGAGCGCGCAAGTGTACACATGTACACGTGAGCAGCAGATGAGCATGTGCATGTATACTCCATTTACATAAGCAACAGGTGCGTGTGCACACTGCTAATGCAAATGGAGCTGCGCATATTACATGCTTGCCACCTGTTTGTGTATAACCATCCTCTCTCTCCCCACCTCCTGTGGTCCACAAGGCTGGAAAGGTTGGGGGACTCTGCCCTACAGCCTGGCATGATCAGGGACAGGTTAATGACTTGGGAAAGCTGCACTTTATGCCCATTTGGGCATTTTGCATTAAAGCTATTATTTGTATACTGTAAATTTTACTGAGTTTTGACATGGTTTTCAAGGAAGGTACCTGGTTGTGCTCTAAATTAGAGCCAATTCCAGGATAGTTCACCTGTACAACTAGCAATTCTCAATCTCTCCTTCTCTCTTCTGGTTTTGTTTAGCTGATTAAAGAACTTTTCATCCAAGTTCAACAGCTCGAGGTGTGTAAATTAATATTTATACAAAGTGCTTTTTTAATACTACATCAGGCTGACAGTCCGCCATTTCCAACAACCCTTGGGCTTTTCAGACAGCCTGCTGTCATGGGAATTGAACATGTCAGTTCAGACTATTTGTCCAGCTAGCTCTTCATTGTTTGCTCTCAGCAGCAGTTCTCCAAAGTATTAGGAAGGGAAAAATCAAGAAGTATCACTTGGACCTTTTCAGCAAATACACCTGAAATCAAATTGGTTTCTGCAGGTGGCAGCATCTACGAGGAAGTGCTTGGCATCTGTTATTGGTGACCATATTTAATAATCTCAGGGTGTAGCAATTAGGCTGTGGTAGGTTTTAGACCCATAGAGGTGGACTCTCTTTTAAAAGCTGAACATCCAGTATTCATCTCTGCATCCTTTTGAAGCTCTCCTTCCTTCCTTCGCCCTACATCCACCTCAATTTTTGACAGCTATCAGAGCTTTTCTTCCCCATGAACATGACAGTTATGCCCATTCCCACCCATCTCCTTTTTGTCCAAATAAATTAAATCCCAAACTTCAGTTGGTACCAAAATTGAAATAAATATCTGCAAGAAATAAATTAAAAAGTCAACCCCAAGGAAGAATCTTTTGTGGACTGTTTGTTAAGAAAACAAGAACAAGAAATTAAAAAGCCCCCCCCCTTCCACCCCCACTTTTCTTCCTTTTCCGGCATCCATTGCTGGAATTGAAATTTGTTCATTTGTTCTACTTATCTTATGGAATCATAGGTGCATTATTCCTCTGAAGAATTCTTTCTACCTTTTACTGGTAGAAATTAAAGAATGAAATGAGAGCAATGTGCCTCTCCTCCATGTAAGCAGCCATATATTTGAGTCCTCACCAGAAAAGACTTGAGCCATACCAAAATGTCACATCCCATTTGAGTTTTTCATCCTCTCTGCTGAGCTGCATTTTCAAAGGTAGCTTCATGATTTTCCCTGGGGCACATGGGTCCCACTTACAGAATTTCTGACTCCCCACTTAAAGTTTAGGCCCAAATTCATAAGGCCCTTGCCCACAGGACACATCTAGCATCTCCAGGAATGCCAGGATGAGTCCCTAAAGGGGCCAGAAAAATGACAGAGACAAGCTCTGGTGGAGGAATTAAGTTGGGCCATGCCTGGAAAAAGGGGATGGAGACAGGATTGGAGAGAAAGCTGGACCAGCTCATTTCTCAAAATGGCTGGCAGGGGGTGCTCAAAATCCAGTACTCTCAGAACTGCTTCGGCTGTTGTAGCTTGGACTGCGGCTCTGGGTGCGAGTCCGGCTCCTGCTGCTGCTGTAGCTGTCATAGCTGCGACTACGGCTGCGACTGTAGGAGTAGCTGGTAAGTGAGCTGGAAGAGGAAGGGCTGGGTCGATAGTAGGGGATTGGACGCTTCCGAGCACTGGGGGAAGAAAAAGAAAGAGTCTCATACCTTGGCAATGATAATAATAATATGAAGTGAATGAAACTGAGGGGGGAAGGGGCATTGGCTTTAGCACAGAGGACAGCTTTAAAAAATTGGAACATACTTCAATCGTCTCATCCTTCAAGTGGACAGTCCTGATTATCATGATGTCACCATATTAACTTTGAATTCTTAGAAGTGTTTTGTTAAGTCTGCTCACTTCCCATTCATTTTTTTAAAATTTAAATTTCTAAAATAAAGTCAGATGGATATACAGAAAATAAATATGATAATATGTAGAAATCTTCTAACAGGAGTTTCAAGTGTTCAGTTCATAATTTACTTATTTTTTAATACAAATAATGGAGAATAGAATTTGCAATTGTTTAAGATTAAACTACAAAGTTTGTTCCTTTTTATCTGGTATGATCAGACTAAGTGGACTTGTAACTCCTCCTAAACACCTCCTCTTATTAAACTGGACTCTTCAGTGCTAAAGCTGCTGCCCCACCAGCAGTTAGTCCTGGATTAGATAGCTAAAACAACCAAATGTGAAAGAATTAATAATGTTTGTGATTTGCTGGAGACACTGGAGAATTAAAGCTGTAAAAAACAGAGGTTAGATGTTAGTTAGAAGCAGACCTTTTCCTGGAAGCAGCACTGCCTCACTCTAAAGAAGCATTATTTCCTGACCAAAAGCCCGCCCATGATTCGCCACAGAATTAAAGCCCCAGGAGATACAGTAGACTAACTATAAACATTGACTACAGTCCAAAGCCTGGACATATATAATTTAAATATTATAATTTCAAGCCTGTTAAACTGGACTGAAAGAATCACTGACCTAAATCACAGGATCTTGAATAAAGGCTCAGTAAAACAGTTGGGAGTATCCTGGATGAGGCATAACTTGATTGCATTGAATAAAGCAATTAAATGAGTGAATAGACCAGAGGTGGGTTGCTCCCGGTTTGGCCCGGTTTGACTGAACCAGTAGTGGCATTTTTGCCTGGGTTGTAGAACCAGCAACAACCCAGGCTTGCCATGCTCCTGAACAGGTTCCCTCACTTCTGCTGATGTCGCCACCATATTATTTTGTAGTGAGTGTGCATGCTCAGTTCACTGTAAATTGTTCTGCACATGTGCGAAAACACACACAAAGCGAACCGGTAGTAAAACCGGCAGCAACCTACTCCTGGAATATACGGAATATACTGGGACTGGCATGAAATCAGTTAGATTGGTTGTGTGTATTTACATTTGCAACCCTTCTCTGGACATTGGTATGTGTGAAATTGCCTTCAATCACTCCAATAAATCTTCAGATTCCTCCAGTTTCAGATAATCTGGTACATGCACCTCAGAGTCACTCTGAACTTTTTAGATTTCACTTGAGTTTCCATTACGTTTTTGCATTTCAGGCCAGTTTAGATATCTCTATGGATGGTATACAAATAATATCTTTATTCTGAATGTATCAAGGATTTCTAATAAAGCTAGGCTTACAGTACTGTTATGCTGCACAATGTTGAGAAATAATCTCTCTCTTAGGCTGGATCCAAATTACTGGCTAATCAATGCTGCAAGGTGTGCCCAAATTGCTTAGACAGTCTGGATGTGTGTTAAATTGCCCCCAATTGCAGGGTGATAGGAAGTCAATTAGTTGTTTTGTTCAACATGGATTCAGGCCTAAGAAACTCATTTGATGCCTTGGGAATGTTTGGTGTAGAATAATGATTAAGGTTATCAGGCTAGAAACCCGGAGACTGTGGGTTCTAGTCCCACCTTAAACACGAAGCCAGGTGGGTGATATTGGGCCAGCCATATCCTCACAGCCCTAAGCAACCCACTCCTGAAGTCTTTCCAAGAAAACTTCAGAAACTTCAGAAACATCCAGGGAGTCACCAAATGTCAATACTGACTCAAAGGCATATATGTATCATCTTCACCAACAGACATTTTGTTAGAGAATAATTTTCATATGAAAAAGGAGTGGAAGAAAAAATAATTCTCTATACCACTTCAAAACTTACCTCTGTTTGCAATGTTTTGCCCTTACTGACTGAAAATAAACCAGTCAGAGATCATGGAATCAGCATTATCTCATAGTGGCAGATTTAATTTCCCATGTGATAAAATCACACAGAAGGACGGCCACATTTCCTATTTTTTTAAAATTCAAAATATTTCACCCTTTTGACAAATTGTCACTAAAGCATGGAGACAGAGAAATTTCCCAGGGGGCAATTTTTAAAATATGTGAAAAATGTAGCCCTTTTTTCATCCAGTCCTCTAATCTTAGAGGACAAGAAAAAGTCATATTCTTCCCATCAGCAGCCAGATAAACTTCTCCTGATGTCGAAACGTGAAGGTGTAGCAATACCCTGTGGAGAACATGAAATGTGTGAGGAAGATAGGAGGGTCTAGAAAGAAACCAACCTGTTTCATCAACACCAAACCCATCTATAATTCTCTCAGCCATTAGATACCAATCAAAGCAACACTTAAACTATTAGATATACTCATCATCCTAGCTCCATTATTAATGAGATGAGAGAGAGAGAGAGAGAGAGGGAGGGAGAGAGAGAGAGAGAGAGAAGAGAGAGAGGGAAGTGATAAAGCATAGTTCTACAAAGCTTCACAAAGTGATGGATTCAAGGACACACAGCAGGTTTCTGATGGAAGGGAATGTTACCATGGTAACCCAGCCCTGCAGCTATGGGCTTCACTTGAAGTTTCTTCAGGAACAACCTTGAAAGAGGATGGAAAAGGAGAGATTTGCATCTTTAACAGGGGGGAGCAAAGCAGAAGACAGCAAGAACTAGTAGGGAACTGGTTGGTGAAGGGAGTTACATTTGCAGAAGAATAATGGACACAATAGAGCTCAGTTGTCTTTTAGATTTGACTAAAGGTTTTCCTCAATCTACAAAGCTGAACGCCTTCCAATAGTGAGTTTGAGGGAGTAGTGATTATTAAGGAAGTAATAAGGAAGTGACTTTTAAATATTTTGCATTGTAGGTGTCATATGTGCAGAAAAAAGTAAACTTGTGAATCAAAATATTTTATTTACTTATGTATAAGCTATATGCTACCCATCTGCCAAGTAGGTGGACACTGGCCGGCTTATATTATTTGATTAGAAAAACTCCCAAATTCCTTGATAATAACCTATGAGTTTATAAAGTGCTGGTGGCAACTGAAGAGAGGAAGAAGGGAGGAAGAAGAGGCAGAGGGGAGTGAAGTTAATTTTAAGGCACACTTCTGATGTCCTCCAACTATGCTAGAGTAGAAATCCCATTATCCTAGTCAAACTGACTGAGGCCAGTAGGATGTTCAGCAGTGGTGGGATTCAGCCAGTTCGGAGCTATTCGGGAGAACCGGTTGGTAACTTTCTAAGCAGTTCGGAGAACCGGTTGTTGGAAGAAATCTTTTGGTTTTTTCCCACTTTACATGGCTAATCCTATAAGGAAGGAAACATTCTGGTGTTGTTTCTAGTCTAATCTTTATTGCCCTGCTTACAGAAACTGCCTCTCCAGGTAACCCTTATTACCATTGTAACAACTAAGGCGAAGTGCCCATTGACCTGAGTGACATTGACTTGGCCATGCCCACATGATCACATGACCACTGAGCCCCGCCTACCCAGCTGGTCATTAGGGCAGAGAACTGGTTGGTAAATTATTTGAATCCCACCACTGATTTTTGGTTTTTAAATGTGACCTTACTTTTCTCACCATTGAATTGCACTTTGTTGGATAGGGCCCAGTTTTCAACTCTGCCAAGATCCTTCTAAATCTTGAATCTATCATTTAAGATGTTGGCTATTCCGCCCAAGTGGGTGTCATCTGCAAATATTATAAGTTCTCATTCTATCCCCTATGGAGATGTTGAAAAATACTGGGCCTAAGACAGAACCTTGGGGTACCCCACTGCATGCTTTGTAAGCCAGTTATGAATCCATCTGCTGGTGATGCTATCTATCCCACATCTTTCTATCTTAGCAAGAAGTAGGCTGTGGTTTACTTTGTCAAACGCTTTAGTGAATTCTATGTAAAGTACATCTACAGCATTTTGTTGGTCCACTAATTTAGTCACTTTGTCAAAGAATATAATGTTTGTTTGGCATGATCTGTTTTTGACAAA